CCCCCCACCTCGGGACCCCTGAGCCCAGCCACCACCCGCCTGGCGGCACCCCCAGGCCTCCACCTAATAGGCTCTGCTTAGGGACTTGGCGCCGCCCCGGGGGAGGGAACCGCCATCCCCCACCCCTAGCCTAATCCCCCTCCCCTCCCCTCTCTGCCCAGGGTCCCAGGAAGGCCCTAAACACACACACGCACACGCACACTCGCGCGCCCTGCGTTCCTAGCAGATGGATTTTTATTGCACGAGGTAAATGCCTTTGCAGCTCTACGGGACGTCACCCTTCTTTGCTTTGCTCCCCCGCCGCACACACACACACAGGGCTCCCCTACAAGTAGCAGTTTGGCGGAGGGTCCTCGGGTGCCCGGATGAAAGGAGATGGCCCAGTATGAACTGGCAGTTAATTATTGAGGGTCACATCTCCAGGGCAGCGCGCCTCCCTTGCGGATGCGGGGGCCCTTTAACTATCAGGGAGGGAGGGAGGGAGGGTCTCCGGGGGGTCCCTAAGACACCCCTTGCTGATTTTCCTGCCCTTCTTTCTCTTTTATTGCCTGCAGGGCAATCCCAGGGCCCACCGACGCCACCGACCACCCCCAAAACCGACGTGCAGCCGGGCAAGGCTGACCTGAAGCGAGAGGGGCGCCCCCTGCCTGAAGGGGGCCGACAGCCCCCCATCGACTTCCGCGACGTGGACATCGGCGAGCTGAGCAGCGACGTCATCTCCAACATCGAGACCTTCGACGTCAACGAGTTTGACCAGTACCTGCCCCCCAACGGCCACCCGGGGGTGCCGGCCACGCACGGCCAGGTCACCTACACCGGCAGCTACGGCATCAGCAGCACCTCGGCGGCGGCGGCGGCCCCGGCGGGCGCGGGCCACGTGTGGATGTCCAAGCAGCAGGCGCCGCCGCCCCCGCAGCAGCCCCCGCAGGCCCCGCAGGCCCCGCAGGCCCCGCAGCAGCAGCCGCCGCCGCCCGCGCCCCCGCAGCAGCCGCCCGCGCCCCCGCAGCCGCAGGGGCACACGCTGACCCCGCTGAGCGGCGAGGCGGGCCAGGCCCAGCGCACGCACATCAAGACGGAGCAGCTGAGCCCCAGCCACTACAGCGAGCAGCAACAGCACTCGCCGGCGCAGCAGATCGCCTACAGCCCCTTCAATCCTCCCGCACTACAGCCCCTCCTACCCGCCCATCACCCGCTCGCAGTACGACTACACCGACCACCAGAACTCCGGCTCCTACTACAGCCACGCGGCCGGCCAGGGCTCCGGCCTCTACTCCACCTTCACCTACATGAACCCGGCGCAGCGGCCCATGTACACCCCCATCGCCGACACCTCCGGGGTCCCTTCCATCCCGCAGACCCACAGCCCCCAGCACTGGGAACAGCCCGTCTACACACAGCTCACCAGACCTTGAGGAGACCCGAGACAAAGGGTGATGGATGGAAGATCGGCCTGATGTTCATAAAAACAACCGAAGAAAGAAAGAAAAAAACAAAACCAACCCACCAGAATTTCTGTGCATTGGACATTATTTTTTCTTCTTCTTCTCATTCCATAAAGACATTTTAAGCTACAAGGCAACTCGGACCCAGATTCCAAGACAGAAACGTTTGCTGTCCAAAACGCATGCCCACCTTGTTGGAGGCAGGCAGTGGCCAGGCCACTCGGGGCTTCGAGGGGCCCCGCGGCATCTCCACGCGAGGCGGGACTTGGAACCCTTCTTCACAGCGAGCTCGGAGGATGGTGGAGACCCGTGGGACCGTGTTTGCTCAATCCTTCCGCCTGTTTGGACTTTGTAATTATTTTTTAGCAGTAATTAAAGAAGAAAGTCCTCTGTGAGGAATATTCTCTATTTTAAATATTTTTAGTATGTACTGTGTATGATTCATTACCATTTTGAGGGGATTTATACATATTTTTAGATTAAAAAAAATTAAATGCTCTTATTTTTCCAACAGCTAAACTACTTAGTTGAACAGCGTGCCCTAGCTTTTCTTGCAACCAGAGTATTTTTGTACAGATTTGCTTTCTCTTACAAAAAACGAAAAAAAAAAGTGTTGTATTAACATTTAAAAAAACACCCCCACAGGTTTGTGTTATGAGATGAGTTTGGGGGGAGTGGAGGTGTTAGCTTTGCTTAATGCCTCAGGCTTTCTGATTGGAGGAGGAGCTGCCTTAGACAAATAAAGGCCTTATTTTGCGAGTATGGACCTACACAGGTTAGTCTAGAGAAGCATATGGTAAGTGTGGTCACATATATATTTTCTAAATGAGAGAAAAAAAACACCTTGAGCCTTAAAAGCATGCTGCTGACAAATACCTGCGCGCTCTTTTAGTGCATTTATTTCCTCCTGCGTTTGCCTTTTCAAGGAAATCTTAAGCAAGAAGCAAAAGGCAAGGAGAGGAAATGTGATGTGGGGGATGTTTCAGCAGCCAGCCAGTGCCTCCCCCCACCTCCCCCCAGCACCCTGCCCCCCTGGTTGCCTGGCCTGCCCGGCCCCATGTGGGACACAGATGCCAGCGTCCTCCCACAGTCACCTGTGCCTCTCTGAACACCAGCAGTTAACCTTCAAGACATTCCACGTGCTCAGATTATTTATTTTGTAAGGAGAGGTTTTAATTAAAAAAAAAAACGCTTCCTTTTTTTTTATTTTTAAAATTTACCTTTAAAATAGGTTGTTGGAGCCCTCCTCAAAGGGTATGGTCATCTTGTTAAATTATGTTCTTAACTGTAACCAGTTTTTTTTTATTTATCTCTTTAATCCTTTTTTTGTATTATTAAAAGCAAGTTTCTTTGGATTCCTTGTCCTAGATTTGTATAAATATGCCTTTTTGTCCGTCCTTTTATTTTTTTTTCCCTTCGTTGTTTTTGTTGAAAAACTGGAAACTTGTTTCTCTTTTTTTTTTTTTTGTACAAATGAGAGGTTTCAAATGTAGTGTATCACTGAGTCCTTTGCAGTGTTTTCTGCCACAGATCCACGGGCTGCCTACACGGTGTGTGTGGCGTGACACGGGACAGTGGGAGCCCGAGTCAGCCTATTCCTCTGCATGTTCTCTTGGAGAGAGGGAGGAAAGGGGGAGGGGCGAGCCCGCGGACAGACCTTAATTCTTAATTATTTCTGTGGCTGGAGCGTTTGAGGATTGCTTTTTAAAAAAGACAGCAAACTTTTTTTTTTATTTAAAAAAAGATATATTAACAGTTTTAGAAGTCAGTAGAATAAAATCTTAAAGCACTCTTATGGCATCTTTCCATTTCTGTATAAAAGCAGATCTTTTTTTTAAAAAAAAAATATTTCTGTAACTTAAAAAACCTGGCATTTAAATCATATTTTGTCTTTAGGTTAAGGTTTGGTTCATGTTTGTGTTTTGTTTGTTTCCTTGTCCCCCTCCCCATACACCCCGAAACTTTTGTTCTCTCTGTGAAACTTACCTTTTCTTCTCTCTCTTTTTTTTTTGTATATTATTGTTTACAATAAATATACATTGCAATAAAAAGAACACTGCCCTGTGGACTTACTCACCCCTTTCTCTTGGGGACAGGATGGTTTGGAGAACGTGGGCACAGAAGAGACTGTTCTCTGTGAGGTTTTGGTTTTTAAGTGCACTCTTGGCAATCCCCAAACCAGCCCTGGGAAGACTGTGCCCTCAAACATCAACACACAAAGATCTTGTCAAGTGCCACCCCATTAGGGCACAAAGAGAATCACATGTCAGTAGTTGCCCGTGCCGGCAAGTGTGTGCTGTGGTTTGGGGCAAAAGCTGTTCCCTGTGGAAGTCGGGAGGGCATCTTAGCCCCGAAGTCAGCGGCTTGTCAGAAGGTACAGGCCAGAGGGGGTGACTTGCTTGTCTGACTTCACGAGAGCCAGCTTTCTGTGATGATGAACGCACCCCCCAAAATGGGGTGTCCACTCCCAAAGCAAAGGAAGCCAGAGTCAAACAGTGTCAGGAGGAGGGGGGGCACGGGGAAGCCTGTCCTATTAACCCGGGGAATCATTCAGAGTCTATCTGCGGGGGCCACAGAGTGAGATGGTTTTTCTGTTCCCTCCGGTTTAACTCCTTCTGAGGCGATGCAAAGCCATCGCAGAAGTAATAAGGCCTAATCCTGTTTTCCTTGGCCCCGGTTAGATGGGAGTTTCCAGGATCAGAGAACCGTTCAGGTCATTTTTCATTACACAGATGAAATCACTCCTTCCCTCCCACCCCCACACGGAGACGCCCCGCCCCCACCGCAGCTGATCCTCATGGGGAAGTGTCTGTGAGGAGGCAGGTCCCCGCTGCAACCTGGGCTGGGGTGGCTGCTGGGCCTGCGCCTCCGCGGCCTGCACCAGCACCCACCTCTCCCGCATCACCTCCCATTGTCTGCATTTGCTGATTGGATTCCTGGCCTGCGTCCCACGCCAGGATCATGGCAACCAGGAGAATGGTAGTTATCCAATCGAGGCAACGTTAGCACTCGGCCTCCTTGGCAAATTCCTTTGTCAAACATGGATTGAGGGCCTGGGATCTGCTGGGTGCGGCACAAACACCTCCCTGCCTCCCCCCCCCGCCCCCCAACTCCATCCCAGGCGGCAGATTCTGTTGCTTGTTGGTGCCATAACATCCCACCCCACCGCCCAGAGCCCGTCCTCCATTTTTACAAAAATATCTATTTTTTCCCCCTTGCCAACACTCCCAAAGTCCTTTATAACTGTCTCTGTTAAATTTGTATTCACCCAAATCCCTCTGTCCATTAAAATTGACAATCGTCCAATCATGCTTGGCCCTGTCTCCACCTAGGCTTTCGAGATTCTTCTCTCCACTCCTAGGAACATGGTCTTTTCCTCAGTTTCCCTCAGCGCATGACCCTGGGCAGACCTCCCGAGAGCCAGAAGACGCCATTGAGACATAAACTTGCTGGGTGACCTAGAACAGGCTGCTTACTGCCCCGTGCCTCGGTTTCCCCTTTTGTTAAGCATGCCTATAATCCCTCCCTCGTGGAACAGGGTTGCATTAGGGCAGTTTGGGGCGAGGAGCAGGCTGAGAATTCACTCGCTCTGAATCTCCTGGTCGGTACAGGATTCCTTTGGAAGGTAAAGGAAAATGTTTGGGGTTTTCACGGGCTCCCCACACGGCATTGATACACAGGAAAATACAGGACACACCCGAGTGCAGAGAGCAAGTGCCTCTGAATCCCTTCACCCCCACCCCCCAGATCCAGTTAAAGGCCAGCATCACCAGATTAAATATTTTAGAGGCATTTTTTAGTCTAAATCCAGAAATGCAGGGCTTATCACCCGGACAACAAGACATTTATTGGGATCCTAGCAGAGAGTCCTCCAGACCAGAAAGGACTTGTATTTTAGATCCCAGGTTGTTTATTTACACTTGAAATAAAACTTTTTGTAAAACCATTTTAACCAAAAAATAAAAGGAATTTTTAACAGAAGGGAACTTGAAGAAAATCACTTAGAAGCAGTCGTTAGGGCTGTAATGAACATGGCGCTTATGGATTCACGTGAGCAGTGTGTTTGGCTTTCCCAGCTCAGCGCCATCCTGTTCCCTCCCTCCCCTTCATTTCCAACAGGAACATGTCTGAGGCACCACTGTGACACTTTGTCAATTGCTAGAGATTGAGATGCACTTACGAGGTCACTAAAGATGCTTAAGCTTCAGGACTCCTCACTAGGATTTGGACTTAATCTCATATTTTTTAAAATGTATAGCCTTGTTCTTGAAGATCCCCCTCCTCCCCTGAAAAAAAAAAACAACTGATAGACCTCAGGCCCCACAAAACCTGGGTCTGCCCTTGACCATGGCTGTTGGACAGCAAAGTATGACGTCAGAGGCCGCCAGGAAGATGCTTTCCCTTCTCTTCAGCAGTCCTGACACTTAGTAGGTGCTTAATAAATTCCGACCTTTCCTGGCGAGGTCACCGACGCATTATCAGGAATCTCTGCGGTAACATTCTACCACCTGTCCTTACATACCTTTCTTATCCCTCTGAGACCCAAATGCTTTTCATTTCTCAGAAGATGTTATCTCATGGGCATAGCAGAGATGCCCGAAGTACTAAAGCCCATACGAAATGTTTGTTATTTCTCCTACCTCATGTCTTCACTTGCTCTTCCTACTCGTGTCTTTTCTTCCTTTCTTAGGCCATCTCTGCCCTGCATTTTCCTAGGGTCTCCTATTTAACTCTGGAAGCTGAAAAGAGTTTGCTGGGCCCTCATGGGGCTGCTTCTTTTCTGCCACTCACAGACTAGAACTCGTTCACGCTGGACAGCTGAAGAATTGTTTGTGGGCCAAATCCAACACGGGCCAGGCAAGGTGAGATTTGCACTCACTCAAGACAACCAGACAAAATTCGGGAAATATGTACATTACCTTGAAGCTTCGGCTGGACACGTCCCTTGAAATGCCAAGATTTCCTATTGAACTGAGTCCAGTTGCCACGATTTCAAGGTGCCATATTCCACTTCTGGGAGGTTTCTACTCTTCATTCTCCCCACAAACCTTCGGAGAGCATCACCTGTGGGTCAGGATTCAGCAGTGAACGTAGTCCCCCTGCCCTCTTAGGGCTTACATTTATTTTATTGTTTTCTAGGTTATTATTTTTAATGTGTTTTTATTGATTTCAGAGAGGAAGGGAGAGGGAGAAAGAGATAGAAACATCAATGATGAGAGAGAATCATTGATCGGCTGCCTCCTGCCACACTGGGGATTGAACTGTGACCTCCTGGTTCATAGATGGATGCTCAACCAGTGAACCACACCGGCCAGGCACAGGCCTTACATTTTAGAGAAGGCAGGAAAAACACAGAGTCCTCCTGCTATTTTCTTGTTCGTGTACTCTGAGCAATGATCAGGGCCAGTTGGGAGGCTATAGCAGCCACCCAGAGAGAGATGATGGTGGCCTAGTTGAGGATGGCAGAGATAAGGTAGCTAATGGATTGGGGAATGATTCAGGTGAGGACTTCCTGATTTTTTTTTTCTCTTCTAATCTCATCCATTTTTCAGTGACATGAAATTTACTCTGACCCCATTGACATAGAAGTGACCTAGGCTCTTTACCTTAGTCACTCCCTCCTGCCCACCTCCGTAACACTCTGTAAGTGCCCGTACCTCTTAATTAAGCACAAATTTGTGTATCTCACAATCCCCCTTTTGCCAGAGACCTCAAAAGAAGGATCTAGTCCAGTGATGGCTAACCTATGACACGCGTGTCAGAGGTGACACGCGAACTCATTTTTTTGGTTGATTTTTCTTTGTTAAATGGCATTTAAATATATAAAATAAATATCAAAAATATAAGTCTTTGTTTTACTATGGTTGCAAAGATCAAAAAAATTTCTATATGTGACATGGCACCAGAGTTAAGTTAGGGTTTTTCAAAATGCTGACACGCCGAGCTCAAAAGGTTTGCCATCACTGGTCTAGTCCCTGGTACCCAAGAGGGTCTCTGGACCTCCAGAGATTTGGTTAACGAACCCCATAAATTTATGGAATCAGAAATTTGGGAGGTATGACGGGGGTCTTTTAGTTCGGTTGTGTGCTGCTCATTGTAAAAATCTTTTGAACAACATCTCGGCCACTGAATGCTCCTTAATCCCTTCTAGAACGCTTGCATTGCTGGGGAGCTCACTTCTCTGTCACGGAGATCTTTAATTGTGGAGAAATCTTATCTCTGCCGTCCGCATCCCATGGTCCGGGACACCTGCCTCTATGCCAATATGATGTGAGTCTTGTCTTTCTTACAGACGGTAGCCCTTCAACTCATTGTACACGTTTCAGGTTTTCTTTCAGTTTTTTCTTCCCCCAAGCTAACCATTTCCGG